TATATTTGGGCCAGCACTTGAGCGTGCATTTAGAGAGGGTGTGCACTTATAGAGGGTGCACTTAGAGAGGTCTGACTATATTACGTAACGATAAAAGAAGATTCGAGTATAATAAATAAAAAAAAAGGTCGATTCAAATACAATGAATAAACAAAAAACCAAGTATATTTAATAAGAAAAGTCGATTTACGTATAATTTTTTTTAAAAAAAAAACCACATGCGACGCTACTTAAATTTAATATCTTTAATACATGATTTGATCTGCATTAAGAATTGTTTTCGATCGATGAAGACTGAATGATAATTTGAAAAGTAACGCGTAACATTTACAGTAGCACTTAGAACGGGGTCTGGGAAATCTTTTTATGGGTCTCCGCATAAAAAATCCTTTTTATATTTGCGAATCCGGCTTTTTTTATAATTAAGCGAATCAGTTTTTGCGGGCACCTTTACTGCTGTTTTCATAAATTCGTTTCCCGAAACCTCATTTTCTATTGTTTGCAGGTGTTACGAATTTTCTTTGTTATATTTTTTATATTGTATTAGTATTCCTTACTACATTTTGTTAGCGCTATTGTTATAGAATGGCTGTGCATGGTTTAGAACCACAGATCTTGGTTCGAGACCATAGATCGTGGTTCGGAACCACGGATCTTGGTTCGAGACCACAGACCATGGTTCCTTGGCTATGGCTATTTTGCAATGTAAAATATAACAGCTAATCAAAATAAGCGAAGTTTGATGGACAGAAGTCGTGTCTAAATGTAATAAAAAATCCAGACTTCCAATATCATTCAACGTTTAAATAGGTGGTAATATTTTAAAATTCTTTGTATCGGTACGATAGAAGAACTGCACATACTTAATCAAGATAGAATTAATTCAAGAACGTAAATTCACTATACCGAATTTTTTTATGAAGTATGTATCTTTTATTATTTTATATTTAATTTCTTTACTACCCGATTTCATCGAAATGGTGAACCCTTAAGACGAATAGAAAAAACAGAGCAAATACTTTGCTCGCAAAATAAATCTTTTCCTTTTATAAATACTACATAACTTTTTATTCTTTTCTCACAATTTCGACTTAAGATTTTTTACATCAACGTTTTCTCCAAACAAATGTCTCTTTAAATAAGGATTTAAAAATAATCCAGTGGGATCTAATTGTTTTTGAAGTTCTATAAATGACTGAAATTTTGGATACGCCTTTTCAAGTTCAGATCGGAACATTGTATGCGCCTAATCGCGTAATTAAATCTTTAATATAAACATAAAGTATAAAAAAAAATGATCCAAAGAAATACCTTTGCCCAATGAGGTCGTCCATCATAAGATCTCATTATGCTTTCATATCCAGCCCAATATTTTCTATAAGGCACAGGTTGATAATATGGCCTGCACAGATAATTAATAAGAAATCATGTGTAATCTTTATAAAAATGACACTCTGGGTCTATAAACTATATGATAAAAACCCGACTATGTTAATCGTCTAGTAATCTGAGTTGGCAAACTTTTTTATAAAACTCACAGAGCTCTACAAAAGTTTATCCAAATCTGATTACTGGATAACTAACAAATTCAAGTTTGATCACTTTAACTTTTTTCAATGAATAATTGATTAAGATACAATAGTGATAATGAAAAAAAAATTTGTTTTTACCTATACATGATAATTCCAATATAGCAAACTTTTCTACCATAAGATGGACTCAACCAAATATCATCTTGATCAACAAATCTAATTTCAACTGGATAATGCGCACTAACTTCGCTCGTTTCTACCCATCTCTTTAAATCTCTTATAGCGTATTTTGCTTTTTCTATTGGTATTGCCCATTCATTCACATACTGTGAAAATAAACAATCAAAGCAAAAAACTTTATAAGAATCGTCAATAAAATGAATGGGTTTGGAGAATTTAAACGAGAATATTAATTGATTAATTTTTGGAACTATGGATGATCGGAAACGGGATAAATAAAGTATCAACTGAAGAAGATGAAATCCGAACAAGGTATCATTAATGTAAGATAATTTTTGTGGTGATGGTTTCTATTACGATAAAAGTTGATTAATTATAAATTAATATCTCAAATAATGATGATATATGATTTTACTACTTTGTTTGTGCGATTTGCTTTCCAAGTAATACAATCATCAGTATGTGGAAACCACCAAAACCTAACATGTTCAGCCGAATGAACAATAGAATCCAGATTATCCAGAATGTGGTCTAATTTTGCCGGCGTTTGATTCGCTTCAAGAAGAAACGCAGTTTCACATTGAATCGTAACTTGTGTGATGATCCCCAATGCTCCTAAACTACATAAAGCAGCTTTAAAAATATCCGAATTCATGGTTTCTGAACAATGCATTTTACCGCGAGAGTCGGTAAACAATGTTAGAGACTTAATCTTTAAAATTGTGAAAATGCAATGCCATTTAAACCGGTTATTTTCGATAAAACCCATTCATTATTATAAATCGTTATTATACTTAATATAATTTACCTGCGCGCTAAGGCATCCAAAGTTAATTCCAGTTCCATGAGTTGCAGTAGAAATCGCTCCACCAATAGTCAAGTCAGAAATAGCACACAAATTACTCAATGCCAATCCATGTTTTGAAAGTTCTTCATTTAATTGCGTTATTTCAATTCCAGCTTCTACAGTCACAGTTTTTGCTTCCAGATCGACCTTTGTAAGTTAAGTTTTATAAATATATAAACAAAATGAAATGGGGATAGAATTATATAGTGCGGGACAGTAAAAGATATCTATTATAAGTAAGAGCGCCAAATTTTTACAAAAAAAATTTAAATAAAAATATATATATTAATAATTAATAATCAAAATTAAGCAAAGATTTTAAAAAAATTCATCTCTAAACGCAAATCCCTAACATTTAATGTTTTTAAACAAGAACTATAAACTGTAAGAGAGATCTTTGTTTTAGACTGTTTAAAAATTTTATGGCAACTATATAAAAAACTGGATATCTTTTGCTGTCCTACACTGTAGAAAACAGACGTCTACCTCTATGACTCTGTTTAATTTCTTCATACTAATTATATACCCATCAGAAAATGGCAGATCTGAAGGTGAATGAAGCATTCCAATCGCTCTAACATTCCTTTTATTCTTCTTGGCGAGTTCAATTATCTATTAGAAGAATAATAATAAGGTCATCAATTTTTTTACGACTTACAAAAAAATTTTTATTTACCTTTACGATATCATCTTCAGATTCTGGTTCGAAATATAATTCTGAAGTATTACACACAGTTTTATGCCAATTATAAATTTTCGCATTATATTTTGAGATTTGCTTTAATCTTTCGTCAAGCATAACTTTATCAAGTTTTCCCATATTATATTTTGAATAAAAAATTACAGAAGATAACTCATCATCCTTTCTATATTAGTGTATATATTTGCAATTCTTAATCACATGATCTATAGAGGCTAAATTCCTCGTGATTGTCACGGTTGAATACGCTAGATATATAGCAGATAGTTATAATGTTATACTTAAGGTGGGTTATAAAAATGTCGAGATCACCGACCACTTCCGACCCGATAATTCAAATTACGCATTACGTTTTAAATACTAATAATAAATAAAATTGAAAAAAAGGATCAGTATTTTTTTTAAACGTAATGCGTAATTTGAAGTGGTCGGTGATCACGACTAACCTACATTTATGCTTAACGTTAAAATGCTGTAAGTAGGGTTAAATTATTTCTGTTATTTTAAATCTCATTGTTTCAATAAAGTATTGAGTAAACTATAAGATAGATGACGCAAAGACTTGTGAGTTTAAACTTACGTGTATTACTTCTCAAAATGGCAAATATTGGTACCCAAGTAGCTCGTTGATTTCTTTGCTGCTCTGCTGCTTGAATCTCCCTATTATTCATCTATCTTGAAATGACAAATACCGTACATTAAGTATTATGTCCTTAATCATTTTCAGCAACTGAGCAGTAAAGCATTTGCTGTGAATTCCAAATCTCGTATATGCAAGTGTTATTGCTGCAATTTCAAGTAGCATGTAAGCAGATTCAACATGGTCTTCATAACATTGATATAGATTTCTGGACTGTTATTAACTTCCAGTGATAGATACGCTTAGGTATTCTGAAAGATTGAAGCCCTGGTATCGCAGATTATTTGTTAATTTTTGCATGATAGCTTATCAGGTGCTAAGTACTGCGCCAATTAGCATCATTTTTTTAATAGTTAAAGAAAAATTGTAACGCATATATCGTTTGCGATTAGTGTCTTTATACTCTTCACTCTGTGGTTCTATCGGTAATAATATATTTAGTTGAAAGTACCAATTGTATTTCAACTTTCTCACTTTTTGATAGTTATAATTAAAACAGTATTTATTAATAAATATTTATTTTGTTGAAGACCTTTATAGCGTAGTGATACTTTATAAACAATCATCTTTACTTTCTATTTTAGTGGCAACAAGATCAGCGATCTCTTCTACTGTCTTGCCACCTCCTATATTTAATCGAATTAACTAGTAGATGAAGAATCGACGAGCTAAATATATTGTAAAATCTCATGCTCGGCTAGATTTCATGTTAACCTCATGTGTATGAATTTGTCATAATTCTCAGATCATAGTTTTTTATACCTCTTACACGTTTTATGGCTTATTCAATTTCAAACGAATTGAGATTTTCCTTGCAATTAATACAGAGTGCCATTAGCTGATATATATAAACTAAGATTACAAAAGAGATATTGTTATTGATATATGAGTTGGTTATTGTTGACTGATATTTGCATATTTAAATTTCAACTACGATATTTAGTGCAAATAGGGATGTTAATCGGTCCTTTGGGTCCGAGTACTGGTCGTCCTTTCAAGGGCAATTAAGACTCGGTCCTTAAATCACGTTAATATATTAACATAGGACTTAGCGTTAGATTTTGATTTAACAATTCGGAATAAAATTGATTGAATGGACTTATCTGGATAGTGATGCAGTAGAATCGTCCCAATGATGTTACGGCTTAAGCCGTAACTAGCTAAAGCTTATGTATATCGTAACTAGTTACGGCAATCATGAGGTGGTGAAAATCGAAAATAAAATTAGGCCTATCTGAGTCCTCCTTGTCGATGGAGGCCCAAATGAAAATCTACTACACGAGAATGAGATCCAATATTGCACAATATTTCGTGCATTTGACCTGGACTATCTAACTATGATTCTGTTCATTACTCAGGTCAATCCGTATAACCCTGTAGAATGGATTTATCTATGATCCTCATGCAAACTTAAAGGGTCAAATTGTTGATGTACTGTACAACCTGCCAAAAAAATTTCAAGCATGTTGGGGAACTATCATGTCACTTCTGAAAACGGGATCACTTATCTGGAAAGCAAGTCATAGCAGATATTATATCTAATTTTCAAGGCCTAATGATGAAACTAGCATGCTTTGGGGTAGTTAAAACTCATGCAAGGTTGTGTAATGATTCTTTAGACTCCTTAGACATTAAAAAATGCAAAAATAACTTATGTCCTTTTCTCGGGATCACAGTCCATTGAATCAATGCTGAGTGGATGAGGAGAACCAGAGGCCGCTAGTTTGCTTTAATGTCACATGGGTTTGCACTGTCACTAAGCACGGTTTCGCGCGTTGAACAGTCCCGTTGTTATACACTGGAGTAATAATAGTAGCACGTTGCAATTTTAATAGTATAAAACAAAAGAACTATTGTTTATGTATATATATATTTGTCATTAAACCACATTTCATTGTTTATTGCTGCCATATCTAACAATTACGCTACATACTATGAAATATAAGATTTCCTTTAGTTTATTGGTTTCGCTTACTAACTGCGCAGTCTTTTACTTTCCTTATAATTTCGTCTTTTATTAGCTCGTCTTCTCTCCAGGGCATACATGAAATATCCAAAAATCTTTTTAAAAAAATTTCGTTAAACACTTCGCCATTTCTAGTTTTTTATATGAATTCCACAAAGTAGAGATACTACCTAGTTTATTTTGATATAAGGGATTCAAATAATTTCCGAAATTACCACTAAGAAAAATTATCTTGACAGGCTAATTGTCAAATACGGTAAAATTAAGAAGAGTAACTTAGACACCCATGTATATCCAAGGGGTTTCCTTTTCGCTAATGTTTCGTTCAGAAATTTTCAGATTTGTCTTTTAAGAGGTTAGGTTCATCTTTCGAAAGATTGTGTCACTGAGCAATTTTGCCCATGTCTCTCACACTTGCCTCCATATTTGTACTACGTATCATGTCCACTTATTGTTTACACATTATTATGTATCCTCAGGGGCGTAATGCATATAAAACCACGATAAAAAATAACGCGTAATCGTTAATGTATATTCTGAATTCATCACCAAACTAAAGATCACATAAATTTATGTTACTTCCTATAATAAATCTCCAATAATTCTAAAGATATATGTTCCATGTTTATTGTAGCTTAACGATGTCAACTAAATTCGGCAATGATATGGTTCATGAATTTTAGGTAACCTCCTGGTGTGAATTTCGTGTAACTGAGCCTAATTTTCCTATCATCTATATTTGTATATACAGTACATAATGTGGCGTGTGTTTTATGAGTCTGAATGCAAACATTGTCCTGAAAAACTTCCTCCGTTTTCACTCATTTCATTTTTTTTATTTTATTTTTTTATCTTATCCAGTAAATTAGTAAATTAGTAAATTATGAAATTATTTTTGACTGGTGGCTCGGGCTTTCTTGGTCGTAATTTTATAAAATACGTGCTCTCTCGAGACAAACAAATTACAATTAATGCTTTATCACGCTCAAGCATTTCTGATGAACTTATATTAAGTGGTTGTAATGAGGTTGAGGGTGGTAGAGAACGGGTTAGAATAATTCGTGGAGATATGAATGACGAAGCTGCCATTAGAGAAGGAGTGAATGAAGCTGACGTCGTCGTTCATATGGCTGCAAAGGTTAATTTTATATTAAAAGTAGACTTTTCGTGCTTTTTTTTATAAAAAATAAACTTGATTATTTTAATTTTATTAAATCGGTAGGTTCAACCATGGGGTTATTTTCCCGAATTCGAAAAAGTCAATGTCCAGGGAACTTCGCTACTCCTTTCCATCATTTCCAACTTACCACAAAAGCCACGTTTCATTTATATTTCTTCATTTACTGCACTTATAAGTAATCATTATCCAAAAGATGCATTGCCTGACTGGGCTCCATATTCAAAATCCAAATGCCTTACTGAAAATTTAATTTTAAAGTCCACTTATTCGAATGTGATCATCCTTAGATTAGGTTGGCTATGGGGAAAAGACGATGATACGTTGTTACCAAAATTAAAGAATTTGAGTAAAAATCCGTTATGGTTGTTTACTCCTGAATGTTATGAATTATCAATTTTACATGTTACTAATGCTTGCGAAGCTACTTTCCTTTCTTGCGTTCATCAATTCAAGGCTAATCAAGTAGAAGGAAAGAAAATTTATGAGATTGAAGATTCGGAAGGAAAAATTAAAGTGGAGGATTTTATGGAATTTTATGTTGGAACAGTATCCAAAGTCAACCCTCCAAGACCTTTCACGACTTTTAGACCCCCTAAGTGGTTTATTTGGGGCGCTATCACTTTTGTTGAATGGATACCATTTCTGGGATATAGTAAACGCTGGATGTTTGATGGTTGTAACAGAGAATCTTTGTTATGCTTGTTCCAAGATTATAGATTATATTCTGATAATGCTAAACAAGAGTTGGGATATGTTGGAATTGTTAGTAGAGAACAAGGAATACAAGAATTGAAGAGAATGTATTTGAATGAATAGATTATTTCTTATAGTTATCGAAATTTATGATTATAAATGACCTTTTTATAATTATATATAGCTACTGTATACGAGAATATGTCACAAATACAATAAAATTTTTTTTATATTTTTTATGTATTTAACAATATTTTGTTAGATTTATTGTTTGTTTTTTTTTTGTTTGAATATTTATTAAACAACTAATGATATATGGGGTCTTTGCCTTGAAAATCAAGTACGGGACATATAATTTACTATATTCCGTACTCGATTTTCAAGGCAAAGACC